AAACAGTTTTAGAATGCGCACTTTAAGAGAGTGGTAGGCTTATGTTTTAGAAATGTCATCGTTCTTATATTAGTCTTATTCCAGCTTGTACAGACTCAAGAATGCACAGTCTTATAACATAATCTCAAATATATATATAAGCGCATCTTATAATATCATTATAAGAATCTTGCTCTTAAAACAGCATTTACGTAGTCTCATTGCACTCAAGAAAACCTATTCTTATAGGCCTATTCTTTAAGCTCATTTGATTTTATAGAAGGCTTGCTAAATGATATTGTAATAACGTCGGGCTTACATCAGCAAAGCTTAAAACCATTTTAAGTATGTTTTTTCTGATCTTTCCTAAAGCTATAATAAGAGCAACAGAAGTGGTTAAGTAAGCTATTGGAGTGATATTGGATCATTATACAATACAAAAGACAAGATCAAATTAAGATGGTTTAATCTACATGGCTGTTTTTTCTTTTCTCCTTGCAAAATCTTTCAAAGTTTATTATATAAAGCTAATCTACTTACTCAAAAAGGTGATGGCTGAAAATCGGTGTTTTCCCTTAAAACTGGCAAATATTTAGCCGAGCCTTGGCCTTTTGTTTTCTGCAGCATACATATGGGTATTCATAGCCGATTTCCTGTATCTTTTCATTTTTGATTGTATTACTCTGAAATGTATATGTATGTTGAGGAAAAAATAAACGCATTATCTATCTATCAATCAAAGCAGTCAACGTGCTTGCACACTGGAAGGGTTCCGAATACAGAGCATTTCTGTACTATCTGAGTTTCATAATATTGAAAGATGTATTAAGACCTGAAGCATATACTCACTTCCTACAATTTTTTGTGCAATTGCAATATGCTCAAACGAAAAATATTTTCATTTTTGAAATATCGCTGAAGGGATGCTTCAATATTTTACTGAACATTTCAAAGTGAAATATGGTAGAAATTATGTAACGAGCAACATACACAACTTAATGCTCGTAGTAGATGAGGTAAGAAAATTTGGAATACTCCAAAGTTTTAACGCATATCCATTTGAAAATAATCTTTATTGCATTAAAAGAATGATAAGACAAGGCAACAAAACTCTTCACTAAGTAGCCAGACTACTAAATGAGAAGCAATTATGTGAAGTAACTGAAAGTCTGTTAGAAGATGAAAAAGAATACCCGTATCTAAAAAGATATCGAGGAGGAGAATCTGATAACATTCTGCATTTGAAGTCATTTATTTTATCTTCGAAACATCAAGACAGATGGTATTTTAGCTATTATAATCATGTAGTAGAATTGGAATCTGTTAATTTCAAAAATGATCTGCGACATGAAATTCGAACGATGCATTTGACGAGCCTTTAAAGTCTTCTTATTTACACATAGATCAGTGCTCATACACAAATATTAATAAGACGTGAGTGTATTATATGACCACAATATATATTTTGTGCCATTAATACATACTTTAAAATAAAATAACATCAATATTTTAATTTTCTTTTATTAATAATCAGTTTAAACAAAGTAATCGTAATGTGGCGTCTCGCTACTGTAAGGATTTGTTATTTTAGGGTAGCTGCTTTGTTTCGCATTCAATAACTGGTTCCTCTCTTTGAATTTGGTCTGAAGAGGGATTCTCCAAATTATCTTCCGATGAAATTAGGATACTTTTTTTGTTTTTAGTTTCCCTTTTTGCTTTTGTCTTTGAGCAGACATTCTCACCTGTTCGTTTTGAGACCGGTATCGAGAATTTCGCAAAACTATCTTGAAAAACTGTATGAGTTGCGCTTTAGTGAAAGTTTTATCTGATTCGTGGACGATATTGAAGAAAAAATTTATAGTTCTTGTAAACCCTTTAAAGCAAATTTTTGTCGTATCTTCCTTTGAGACTCCAGACATTATGAAAAAAAAACTATCAAACATAGCATCAACGAGTTTGCAGTATCAGTCTCTGTTTCTGAATTGTTACTCATGGCGTCGATTTCATCCTCAGCGCCATGAAATGTTGAAATATTTTTCCGTTTGACGATGCAGTTTATTTGTGACCATTTGTTATAATCCGCAAATGAACTTTCAACTTTTTTTTAGTTTTTCTTGTTTGATAGATTTCATTTTCAAATTGGCAAAGCAGCCCTGCAACTCGACGAATTGGTCACAGTACTCTGCGAAGTTGAATCTTTGATAAACTCCCGACCCTTAACATACATTGCTGTGAGCAGTAAATTTATTAATAATTTGTTTTAATTTTTTTTTCGCTGCTTGCATATTTCTTCGTTCCGAATATAAAGATAGAGTGAGTGTTCAATTGCTCATGGCGAAGTCAAGAGTAGCGCCGACGAAAGCGATTACCATTCCTCGCTTGGAACTCATAGCTGCTCTAACGGCTGTAAGATTGTATGAAGAAACGAAGAAAGGACTAGACTTACAATGCAAAGAATATTTTTGGACAGACTCCAGCATCGTGTTAGCATGGATTAAAAGAAAAGTCGGTTTAAACACCTTTGTACATAACCGTGTAAGTGAAATCGTAAACAGTACTAATGTCAACGATTGGCGACACGTCCCAGGCGAACAAAATCCAGCAGACCTGCCTTCAATAGGGTGCTCTGCAAAGCATCTTGAAAGTAGATGGTGGGAAGGCCCCGATTGGCTTAAGGCATCACCTGAGGAATGGCCAGTTTCAAATATCACACCAAACCTAGAAGAGGTATTAAAGGAAGTCAAAAAGAGTTGCTTACTAGTTCAACATGATAAGTTTTCTGATCGTCTTTGCTATTTCAGTAAGTTTACGAAGATTGTTAGGACAGTGGGTTGGATATTACGATTTGCAAATAATAGTCGGCAGAATAAAAATGAAAGAAAAGGAGGCGAATTAGATGCAGAAGAGTATGCACAAAGTGAACGTTGTATACTAAAGTTATTACAATTAGAATTTTTCTTTAATTTTGAGAATTTATTTACACAATTTAGATTAGAAACTTTTATAGACAGTTATGGTTTAATTAGAGTTAGAACGCGGCTTACATTAGGTGAAGACACATACAATTTCAAATATCCGATCTTAGTACCGGGTCAGAGTGTCATCACTGAGCGACTAATTTTTGAAAAGCACGTGCATAATCTTCACGCCGGATCATAAACCTTAATAGGTATCTTACGTGAAGATTATTGGGTGATAGGTGTTAGAAGAGTGGAGACCGTGATTGTAAACAAAATGGAAAAGGCAAAACAGGAGAGATCCGTAGCCAGACGGTTATTTACAATGTCCTCTACAAAATTGACCGAGCTTTTGAAGAACGGCGACAAAAGTTCCATCGCGGCAGAGTTTGCCAAACTTTCGGAACGTTATAATAACCTGGTAAATATGCAAAACAATATGTTATCGCTGTGGTTATATCGAGCCCTTACCGCCAAATTATCGTAAGCGACACTCGCCAAATTATCGTAAGCGACACTTGTCGAAATGCGTTTTTTGTGGAAACTAATATTTTAAATTGTAACGGACCCATCTCTGTTGATATTTCCCTCTATTCTTCCCTCTTTTATATTATTGCGGTGTTCTTTTGGAGGGAAATATCAACAGAGATGGGTCCGTTACGGTTTAAAATATTAGTTTCCACAAAATAGGCATTTCGACAAAAGTGTCGCTTACGATAATTTGGCGAATGTCGCTTACGATAATTTGGCGGTAAGGGCTCGATATGACCCCGAAAGGGACGAGGACGAATTTGACGCTGACCTGAACTCTTCAGAAGAATATGTCGACAAATGGTTCGTGCTCAAACAAAAGGTAAACGAGTACATGGAGAACATAAATTTGTCATTAAGGCATGACCAAAATGAAGGTATGTGTGCATCAGTTGTATCGAATAAAAGTCATAGTCTACACCTTCGGTTACCGAAATTAGATTTGCCGAAGTTTGATGGCAAAATAAGTGATTGGCTCTCATTCTGGACACAATTTAAAAAGATTCACTCAGATGAGCATCTAGACAATGATGAAAAATTTCATTATCTACTTCAGTGTATGGAGCAAGGTTCGAGCGCCCGTGAATTGGTAGGGAGTTTTCCACCTACGGGTGACAATTACGAGATGGTCATACAACAGCTAAAAGATCGTTTTGCACGTGATGAGATGATCATTGAGCACTATGTTCGAGAAATCATGCAGCTTGTAGTAGCACAGACAAAAGGCACACTGAAACAGTCCACGAGATCTCTATACGATAGGCTGATGACTCAAATACTAGCCTTGGAATCTTTGGGTCTCACGCAAGATAAGTACGCCGCTTTCTTATACCCTTTAGTGGAGTCAGCACTGCCCGAAGACTCACTAAGGGCCTGGAGTCGCTCACACATGCAGCTAACTGCGGAGAAAGGGACACCATTGTCTCGTCTTCTTTCCTTTGTCAAGAAGGAGGTGGAAGCAGAAGAACGGATCCGACTGTCGCGATCTGGATATAGCAATACATGCTCACCTGCCTCACCAACCGCCGCCTTTTTTACTAGCAGTGCAGGCACAAGTAAGTCGAATGAGAAATACAATAAAAAATATTCACAGCCAGAGCAGGTGAAAGCGAGAGAGTGCTTGTGGTGCGAGCGAACAACTCATTCTAGCTCTGAATGTAAAGCGGCTATGAATAAAACTATAGAAGAGCGCAAAGAGTTCATCAAAAGCAAGAATGCTTGTTCTATTTGCCTCATGAAAGCCCATATCTGGAAGAGATGTCGGAAATATCCGAAATGCATTATCAATAATATCAATGTTATCAATGTCTTATTTTATGTTTTTATAGAAGTGTTATGTTTAGTTACTTTTTGTGTTGCGTAACGCAAGGCGGGGAGGATGTCGGGGACTATCAACCTCTTTTTTATACTTTTTTTATAATGATTGAAGTGACGTTTTAATGTAAAATAATTTTGTTCTTTTTTGTCTGTCAATAAAAATCGTTTGGAAAATTTGCCAACATAGTTTTTCTCTCGTGAAATATTTAATTGTTTTCACATAGTGGCGACCGTGACAGGACACGAACCTGCAATCTTCGGATTGTCAGGATTTGTGATTATATACATGTATTCATTTTCTTCATCGGTGGTAACAAGTCTTCTTTTCATCGCAATTTCATTCAAGTGGCAATTCACACAATTCCAGAGATTCTGGCCCCCATCTTCTATGAGTTGTACTTTAGGGGAAACTCCCTCTCTGAGATTTGACCCAGTTTCTTTCAGTCTCCACACTTTCTTGCATGCAGATATTCCAATCCTGATTCTAGCAGTTGCTCCAAGGTGGTTTATTACAAGGGTCTGAAGCAAAGTTGAGGTACCTTTAGCAATAGCATATAGGTCGTCGTAAGGACTTTTCCCCTGTGGTCTAATGCTCGGAACTTCAGTCCCATATTGTGACACAAATTTACCATCGATATACCAAGAAGTGTACTCTGCTATTCCCTCTGGCAAGAAAAAGGTTTTATCTGGACTAAGGTTTATCCCTATCAATGACAAATTTTGTTTGTTCCTAATAACACAAAGTTTGTTGTTTTCTGCACTATTTGATAAATATTTTGTGGTAGAGTCATCACTTGATCGCATACACACAACTTTCATGCTATTTCTTTGCATTAAGAAATTCATAGGCAATAGGCCTATTGTTGTGCTAGCTGCATTCAACATTCCCATGAGCATACCAGGGCTGGACATGAAATATTTCCGATCTTCAGTTATCTTGTCCTTAAGCTTAATATACCAAGACTTAGTCCTCTCATTCATAGATTTCTCATGTTCATCTACCCATAATATCCGAGTATATGAGTCCTTATTTTTGACAATCGGGCCAGGACCTATCTGGATTCGCTTCCATGATTGAAACAAGTGACCGTATTTGCAAATGCTAAGAAATAATATTCCCATTCTTGAGTGCAAGGGGACCAGGTTAGCCACTCGTAAGGACGGTTCGAACATATAGTGGTGCATCAAGTAGAATATTGCTGGTGACAGGCACTCATTCCACTTTGTGGCATCCTCAGTACCTTGAGAAACATGATTTGCCAATTCTGTGTCTAAGGCAGTTACCTCCATATTTGAAGTTATTTTAGCCTTTTTCTCTTCCCCTCCAATCGATATGGTAGAACCCATTAAACCTTTCGATAGTTCCAGATGAAACGACTCTATTATATGTAAGAATGGTCTAAGGAGCATTGTTGCTGAAGCTATCGCCCTACGGTCTTTCTTTCCCCTCTCCTTATGTTTGATATATGAGGCGAAACTACAAACAAGTCTCTGCATCTCTTTCCTGACATTTTCTCTCCCAGCTATAGTCTTATTTCCCATCTTCTTTATAATCTTTGTCGACGTAACTTTCTGGGTTGTGTCAGGATCAGACTCACTTCTTTCTACGGTGACCTCTAATAACGCAGGGACAGTCAAAGTTTCTTTTTCAAAACATTCCATTATGCTTTGAAGCCAGTCAATCAAACTGAAGCAATCTCTGCCTGTATTCATGTTTAGGAAGTCAAATGCTGTTTCATAGGCTTGGGCTGCTGTCACGCTTTGCTCCCTGAATGGACAGAAAGTCTGCCTACCTTGGGTCAATACGTCGGAACTTTGGTTCAATATGTTGTCCATGACTCTGTCAACTACAGTGTCGATTTGTGTCTTATTTTCGTTGTTTGTTGTCAAGGAAACGCTGAGAAGAGTACTCGGCAAAGCAGCCCTGCAGCTCGACGAATTGGTCACAGTACTCTGCGAAGTTGAATCTTTGATAAACTCCCGACCCTTAACATACATTGCTGTGAGCAGTGAGAATGTGGTCCCACTTACACCTGCGATGTTCTTGAACGTAGGGTCGACTAATACTTTCGACACAGATATGTTTGGTCAATTGGATGGCGCTGTTCTGACGGCTCGGTGGCGCTATCTAATAAAATTGCACGACGACCTAAAGCAGCGGTTCCGAAGCGAATATTTATCTTTACTAGCTCAAAAATCATCTGTCAAAAGAATACAATATCGGTTAAAGGTAGGTGACGTCGTTATTGTCGGCCCAGACGATAAAAAGAGAGTTAACTGGCAACTCGGGCTCATTTTAGAGATTATTTCCGGATCGGACAACCAAAGTCGGGTAGCCCGCGTCAAAACTCAATCGGGAGTGTTGCTTAGACCGTTTCAACGGCTTTTTCCCTTATAGGTTCCCCAGGAGCGATGTACCACATCTGCCGGTTCTCTCCCGGCCCATAACCTCTCAATTCATAGCACTACAGAATCGTTCGGTCCACAGATAAGAGCGTAGTCTTTTGTTTTGTGATTATGTTTTTATAGAAGTGTTACTCGTATGTTTAGTTACTTTTGTGTTGCGTAACGCAAGGCGGGGAGGATGTCGGGGACTATCAACCTCTTTTTTATACTTTTTTTATAATGATTGAAGTGACGTTTTAATGTAAAATAATTTTAAATCTAAAGAAAGGTTTACTAGAAAAAAATCCACGCGGACCAGGCAGCGGACGGGACTCGAACCCGCACCCTTCGCTATCCGGGCGAATGCACTGACCATTATGCTACCACGGCCCTTTTCGCCGCGTCGAAATTTTCCTAGCCTTAAGCTGCAAGGCAGCGCCATCTCTTCGCATTGTAGGTAATTCACAATGTCAAATGAATACTTTTTCAAGTATTAAACATTTGAAAGAAGAAATAGCAATTATAGTTATGTTTTTATTTATTTTTAAGCATTTAACTGCTAGATGTTTAAATCTAAAGAAAGGTTTACTAGAAAAAAATTTGTCCTGTCACGGTCGCCACTATGTGAAAACAATTAAATATTTCACGAGAGAAAAACTATGTTGGCAAATTTTCCAAACGATTTTTATTGACAGACAAAAAAGAACAAAATTATTTTACATTAAAACGTCACTTCAATCATTATAAAAAAAGTATAAAAAAGAGGTTGATAGTCCCCGACAATTATTATCAATCAATATCAACCAGTTTACAAACATTTCAGCTTCGAGAGTCAACTGGCAAGTGATTGAATAGCACTGCTGTTGAAGCCCATTGCCAGTTGACTCTCGTAGCTGAAATGTGTGTAAACTGGTTGATATTGATCTTGCTATGATATTACTTGTATCGGAAGTTGAAGAAGAAGAAAACGAAGAAAGAAGAAAAAGAAAGCGGAATTTTAGTGTTCACAACTTGTGGTAGAAAATACGTATTTGTGGTGAATTTACTACTTTTTGCGTTGATTTATATCGGTACCCGAGTTTTTTTACGACTATTATAAAATGGACTACGATAAATTTACAGGCTTAGTCAATATTTTGAGACCACACATTGAGAAACAAGAAACAAATTTAACGATACCTATTTCCGTTGAAGAGAGAGTATCAGTCTGCTTAAGGTGAGTTTCATGCTTTCTTACGATTGTAGCACTTTGATTAACTTACACACAAGGTGTTAAACACTTCTTGGCTGTTCACCATAAATTTTATCAATTGTCATCCCTTAGATAGAACAGCATAATTAAACAAGCTTATATTTCAAGACTCTTTATTTAAAAAATTGAAATAATTATTTACAATGTAAAATCACAATTACTAAGGTCATTATAAGTAAATTCTTCGAATTCGTCTAATTTCGATTGCCGCTGTTGCTGTGTTCTCGAAATAGGTTGTGGTATGTAAGGTGATGGGTGGATCAGAAGCTGTTATGTTGGATATAGTGCCGTAATTTGTATAGTTGCATGGCGTGGTTGATGTAGGTGGTTGACAATAAGTAGTGGGTGGGATGAAAGTTGAAGTTGATGGTGAGGAATAAAGGACATCGGCCAACTCCCGTACATCGTTTTATTTCAAATTAAATTGTTGCGTCTTTCAACAAATGACATTAGATTCTGCTTAATTTATTAAGCTTATATGTGTAAGAATCACGACGAAAGAAAGCTGAGGAAAAAATATATTTTGCTTTGAACATTTATAGGTTATGTTTGTTTGACATTTTTATTATGTAATTATTTTTCATTACAGAAATTATTTTTTTGCACAAAAATCATAATAATTACCAATATTTTATATTATTGCAAGCTACCCTATCATTCAGTATGGTCGCTCTACAAATACAAAGATCCGGCTAGGTGGGTACTTACTACCGCACTGTGAGAGAGGTATTTTACCGTAATCCAAATGCATCACTGTGTTTCGGAAAGAGGGATCTAGCTAATGAAATTATTTGGTAAGTATTTGAAGACTTACCAACTAACGTCTCGGGTGACATTCGCAGGCCATTGCTGCGCAGTAGTAGTATGTTGTAAAGCTAGCCACTGTGCCAGTACTATCTGTTTTTGGCAGAGATTGTTTTATGATTTATATGAAGCGGCCCAAGGGTCTCACACGTCCCACACGTTCTCTAGTGTTTGAGGTGAATGGACGTGACGATAAAATGAAAAAAAAAATGATACTGATATCATTGCTTATTTTTTAATATTAAAAAGAAGAAAAAACCAACGCTGACGTCGATGGTGGATACATCCTATCAACAGATTGTATCCCAATCAATTTCACATTAGATACCAAAGAAGAAGAGTATACGCAGATCGATTTTTTTTTCATATTAGCGAATGTCTGTCAACTCATTTGACGAGTTATTTTTGGCATTGCGAGAAAATTCCATATAATTACCAACTTACATTTCTTTAGAAGAAAAAATAACAATCACGCTAAGGTAAGAATAATATTTATTAACTGATTTAAGCATCTTGCAAAGAAAATCAATCAATTACTTAAAATAAATGTTGTGTGTCTAGTGTATCGTCTATTATAGTGTCTATAGAGTCGATCTCTGAGTAACAAGAAAGTGTAGATTGAAGGTTGGAATTGGACATGGTAATAGGTGTTGGCTCGTAGGTTGTCAATGTCGTAGTAGTATTCTCATACTGCGATGTTGTTGGCGCATTTGATTTTGGTGTATATCCATTTGACGACGTCGTCGGCGTAAATATGTATGAATTTGTCTGAACGTCAGGTGATTCAGACATATTATTCGTGATTGAGATCAAAATCTCAATTTTAGTACGCATTTTTGTCAGCGGTGTCATTTTTTTAAGTGGCGGGGCTAAAGACAATAAAAATAAAACGTTCTCGTCTTGTAACCTTCTTTTATCTACAGAATTCCTTTTCCTTAGTATATCCAACAGCTCTTGTTCGCATTCGTCATTACTATTACGTTTGGATTGATTTTTACGCTCTACGATTCTTTCTGGTTCTGCAGATTGTATTTCAAAATTTTCGGTGTCAGTCGCAGAAACACTAGAATTTTCTAGTGGGATATTGCTTTCTAGAGTGTTTTCGTCCAATACAGGCCGTAAGAAATGCAACAAATTAAAATATGTGTATGTTTTCTTTATTTTATTTTCTGCAGATCCCGACTTCACATTTTTGATGTATTTTAAGGCTTTTCGATATTTGTCCTTAATATTTTTCCATTTTTTCGTGAGCTCTTGCCCTGTGGAAATGTAAATGTGTTTAATTGTTTTTTTACTTTACGATTTTTGGCAACGGGAAAAGATTTTAAAACATTGGCGCTAGATTTTGGTATAGGACATACATCTGTCAGAGCAATAATAATAGAAATATGCAAGAAAATCTGGCTGAAACTGTCAAGTCAGGAAATGCCGGTACCTACGACTCAAACCTGGCTGTAAAAAGCAGAAGAATTTAATGAAAACTCCCAGTTCCCCTTATGTATGGGGCAGTGGATGGTAAACACATACGTCTTATGATTTCGAAAAATTGTGGGTCATTATTTTATAACTATAAACATTAATTTTCTATTGTATTATTAGCAGTTTGTGACGCAAACTACTTGTTTACGTCAATTGACGTCGAAGCATATGGCAGAGAAGGAGACAGTCAAATTTTGTGGAGGAGTCACACTCAATAAATTTAATTGGGATAAAAATTAAAAATAATTCTTTAAACATTCCGATGGATTCAACCCTTCCCAACGATAACAGCAAGTGTCAATTATCTTATATAATTGTCGGTGACGAAGCTTTCGGACTACATAGAAATATTATGAGACCTTATCCCGGAAAGAAATTGAGTTACGCACAAAGAGTATTAACTACCGCCTTTGTAGAGCTCGGCGATATATAGACTGTTCATTCGGAATACTAGCCAACAAATGGAGAATTTATCATACACGATGGTATATGGTTGAGCCTAAATTCGCTACTCTTATTACAAAAACTGCATGCATGCTTCATAACTACTTTAGAAGACGTGATGGGTATAGGTTTTCAGATACTCTTACTAATGTCATTCCTTGTGTAGACAGGGTGAGTTCAAGTACGACTCAAGTAGCACAGGAGGCACGAGATTTGCTAATTATTTTTTGACATCTGAAGGTGGCAAGATAAATATACCTATATTTAGGCACAAATTAAGTAACTACTCGAATAATAAAGTATATACCTTTAATTTGTTTTTCTTGTTCATTTAATGACGACCAATTCGGTGTCATTGACGAAGCTTTTTCGCTCCAGTCATTCCACAATATCATTTTCTATTAACAAGTATACATAATACTGCTTTCTCGTAATGTGGCGCGACTTTATTTTTCCTCTTATTAGAGTAGTATACCAGAGCCTCTAAGATTATAATCAGTTGAGTCGATGTGTTCTCTGGAAACTTCGATTCTGTACCCTGTAATGGTATATTTCCCCTTCCACTGCTCCTCTAGTCTACCTCAGAGCACAGGGGAACCAATGAAAGAAAACAAAAAGATTAAGATAATGTTAT